AGCTTCTGAAGGACTTAGGCTGACGTCATTTGCTCCCATGTCCCATACTCTCACAAGCCATGTGGCCAGGGGCTGCTTGCTTGCTTGTGAGTTTTTCCTAGCTTTAACACCTGAAGCATGGAATATTTCCTAGCTATAGTACAGTTAGCTTTTTCTTCCTTTTTACTATTATCTGTCTTTTTCTGTGAGCCCTTGGACTTTACACAAGTCAAAGTGTCCTGCCTTTCCCCTGTCTCCAGCTCGGCACCTGGGTCTGCCTTTTCAGCTTTCCCCCCTGGGCCACATCCTTTATCATGCAAAGTGGCTGCTCTATTTTTCTGGGAGCTCCCTTTGGGTCCAGAGCAGATAAAAGATCTTCTAACTTTTGGGTAACTTTTAACAAATCTTCACATATCAGCAATATATCCCCACATTTACAACATAGCTGTGGCCCCTGATTTTGTGTGGCTGGCATCTTTTTAGTAACCCATTGCAAAAACCACATCAGCACTGCCATTAACGCTCTTCTAAAACTCATTCTCAGTTTTGTCATATCCTGTCAGACTATGCCAATTCTGTGGCCCAAATTCTCTCTGGGTCTCCTGCATGGTCAGACAAACCATATAATATATTTTATGTGAGTTTATTAACTTACGAAGGAATGAGTACCCAGTGTCTAGCCCAGTGCTGCTGCAACTCAGAGCCTGCCTTATCAGACTGTGCCATGCCCATAGCCCTGCTAGCATTTGCTCACGCCTCCAGGGCCAGCAATCTCGCCCCAGGTCCACAGGGAGTCAGTCCATTCTGTCTTTGAGTTGCTGCACTGGCTGCGAGTTTCCTATACCATCACGCTCTAGGGGTGGCTGCTGGCTTCCATCCCAAGATGGTTCCCAGCTTCCCTTCCTACTTCCCCTGCTAGTGTCAGGCCCCGCCCATTGGAGGAACCAGCCAATCGGGAGACACCCACATTTCCTGAGTATTTCATTCCTGTGGTTTTTGTTTTGTTTTTTGAAATTTACAGTCTTTTCTTAAGGAGTCCATATCTTCAACTTTATCATCTAGTCTTAATATTCTGTTATTCATTTCTTTCATTCTGCTTGTGAGGCTTTCTCCTATTGTTTCTAATTGGTTTATTGGGTTTTTCAATCCCATGTTCATTTCCACTTGGATTTTCTTCACTATTTCTATATCGTTTGTGAATTCACTTTTCAAGATTTGAATTGTTTTGATATTTCATTAAGCCACATATTTGTATATTTTGGGGCTTTCATCATATGTTTATGCCTTTCCTCTTTGAGTTCTTTGAGTTGTTGGTCTGTGTTTTCTTGAAGGCTTTTAATCATGATTATGATTGTTGTTTTAAATTCTGTGTCCTAGGGTTTTCTCAGGGTGGTTCTCATTGGTGCACTTCTGTAGGACTCGTGGGTTTTGTTGGAGACATACTTTCTTAACTTTTCATATTGTTTGTGGCTTTGCTTTGCTGTTTGGGCATATGAATGTTCTTTGTTGGTTATGTGCCCAACAGGAGCGTCTACTCTGCTTTTGTTTAATTTACTATTGATTTTGTTAACATTGTTTATGTACCTTGGTTACTTTTTGTTCAGGTATAGAAAACAAATTGGTTGATGTTTCAAGTTCTTGCAGGGTATGGACTAGTCAGAGTCCTGGCTGAGCAGGTCTGTCTGCCTGATCTGGGACCAGGGAAGGTGGCAGTAGGGGAACCGCCTGGGCAGGAACTTAGGGATCAATGGTAGGGTGCTTAGTTAGTCTGGGTTAGGAAGCTAGTCCAGGGATCTGAGGTGAAGAAATTGGAACCTGCTTGGGTCCAAGGCTGACAGGGCACCATAGGACAGTTCTTTATGAGGCAAACGCTGGCCTTTAGTTTCAGCTCTGAAAAGGCCTTAGTTGTCTCCGAGGGTCGATCAGGAGCTATAGACAAGGATGAATACACAGCAGATGTTCCACCTCTCAGGATCACTTCAGTGTGGTTATATTCTGTACACTTCACTTAAAATAAATGGTGAGTGATGTGGATGTAACTCAGTGGTGGAGCACTTGCCTAGCATGCCTAAGACCCTGGATCCAATCCAGAAACACAAAATAGTAATAATAAAATCAACAAGGGCATGTCGGCATGTCCTACGTCCTCATGTGTGATGTAGCTGGAACACTGCTGGCCCCTGTTATTCTCTTCCATGGCATTCAGTCATTTCCTTCACAGCCATTAATTTATGATCTTGATATCATTTTCTATAGTCCTACTTATGTCATGCTATTCCCTCTGAAATTATAATCACATATCATTGCATGCCTAAATGACTGCCTGTTTTTTACATCTATGCCTCTTGCGTAAGTTCTGTGAATTAGGCGCTGGGATAATGGTTTTGTTTTGTTTCGTTTTGTTTTCACTGTTGTATCACCAGATCAGCAGAGGGCCTGACAGACAGGATCTGTGAAATAAATGCAGGTTTAATAAATCAGTAGTAGAACATAAAAAGGACTTCTCCATCACTTTGCAGTAGTGCAGGCCCCTTCCAATCATTTTTCACACATCCCAGGTTGTCAGCAGATTCAGCCAACTGGTCCTCCATTGCACACCTGATTCAGAATGCTGAGCACCAGTCCTTCAGTAGAAGGAGATGGGGTGGGAGCAAAGAGTGCAAGCTGAAAAAGCCTCGCAGCATACCAACTATGCATCTAAGAAAGGGTTGGTACCTAGAATTTACAAAGAACTTTAAAAAACTAAACACCAAGAAAACAAATAACCCAATTAAAAATTGGGGCACGTAACTTTGAGAGTTCTCAAAAGAAAAAAATACAAATAGCTGAAAAATATTTTTTTCTAAATATTCAACGATTCAATGTCCTTAGGCATATGGGAAATCCAAATTAAAATTATTTTGAGATTTTTGTCTTACCCCAGTCAGAATGGCTAAGATCAACAAAACAAATGTGCTGGTGATATGGGGGAAGAGGAATACTTATTCACTAATGGTTGGAGTGCAAACTGGTGCAGCCACTTTGGAAATCAGTGTGGAGAATTCTCAAAAGGCTAGAAATAGATCTACAATATGATCCAGCTATCCCACTCGGCATATTCCACAAGGAGTCTGTATCCTACTACAAGGATACTCGCTCGTTCCTGTGCATTGCTGCTCTAGCTCAATCCCAATATTTGAGAAATGAAAACAGCCTAGATGTTCATCAACTGGTGAATGAATAATGAAAATGTAGTTCACATACAATATTATTCAGCTATAAAAAAGAATGAAGTGATAAAATTTGCAGGTGAGTGAGCTGGAAACAACCATTCTGAGTGAGGTAACCCAGACCCAGAAAGACAAACATTACATGTTCTTTTTCATATGTAGATGCTGGCTTTGCATCTTTAGATAGGCATATTTAATTTGGAGTACCCAGAAAAGGCAGGAAACCAGTAAGGGGCTATAAGGAGGGGAATGATTTCAAGGGAAAAGGTTTGGAATGAAGGTGGTATGTATAGGGGAAAAAGGACTAATGGAGCAGGAAGGGTTAAATGGGTTGAAGATGGGATGTCAGGGTAGAGGAGGGAGTATTGGGAGGGATAGCTAACACTAAAGACCTTTGAAATGCCATATGGAGACCTACTATGACAGATATATATTTGAATTGCTGTTCAATGGGCTCACTTAGATCCTCCAAATATTATAGGCTATTGCCATTGCTCTTGGTTAAGTTTCAGAATTTGATGCTAAGACCCTGTTCATAGAAAGCTTCATCCCTACTAGCTAGTTTTCATATTACTAGAAGGTTCTAATTATACTACCAGGGTAGAATAGTATTCAGCAATCTCACCCAACTGTGAACAATGCAAGCTACAATTAACAACTGGCCTAGAAGGCATGCCCACCAGTGAGAGTGCCACAAATGCCACAGTAATATCCAGTCACTTCTGACTACATTTAAAGCCTAGTACAGTTAACTGAGCCAAAACCTTGTGGCTGTCTAGGTCATAGGCAAGAACCTAATACTATTATTCTGTTAAAGGAACATAGTATTAAATTTCCCCCTAAGGTCTTATCTTCACACCCACAGTTTAGTATAGTTTAGTGCATCTCTCAACTCTCATTTTTGTTTTTTGTTGTTGCCATTGTTTTGTGTTTTTTTTGTTGTTGTTGTTTTTGCAGTAGATGGCAAATAATACAGGGATCTGCACTGGGTCAAGATGCAGAGAATAAGAGGCTGTGAAGTCCTCAGCATTAAGTGGGACATCTATATCCCTTGAGCCTCCCCTCAAGGCTCAGGAATTACAGAAAATGGGGTGGCATGCGGGAGCAGACCAGAGGAAGTAGACCTGTGCAGCTGGACATGACCATGCTACTACTGCACATGAAACCATCATGGATGTGTCAGCACACATGAGACCTGCACAAGATCAAACCAGCCAAAACCTCAGCATGCAGGGAGCAGGCACTCATAACATCCCATCCATATTTGAAGAATTATTGGTAATTAATGATTGCTGGGAAAAGGAGAGTGAGTGTTCCACACTGATGTAGTTCCTGAGAGGTTATCCACGCTCCAGGAGATGTCTTACACCTATGCAAATACAGGCAGCACTAAGTGGACTCCATGGCTTTAAAAAAAGCCAAAAGAATACAGGAAGTTTGGGGAGAAAATGGTGGGGGGGATAGGGTAGAAACTGGAGTGGAGGGAATGGGGGCCAGATTTGATCAAAACACATATGTGCCTCTATGAAATTCTCAAACAACAAAAAAGAGATATAAAAAATAAAGGGTCCTCAAGGCTCATTCAGCTTGAGATGCTATATTAAATTCATTCTTTACATTTCTAATGTTTTCCCATGGTGTCCTGTTCCACTTTGGGACTCAGACTTGCACATGCCTTCTAACACATGTGTGTCATAGAATTACATAAATTACAAATTTTCAAATGTGTTAGAATACAGGTTTGAAAGCATTTTGTTTCCTGAATAATTGATAACAAGTATTCCCTGTCAGAAAAACAAATTCCAATTTGAGTATTTATAACAATCTTTTATTAATTTCTATCACATTCCAATTATTATTACTTCTTTAAAATGAGCAGTTAATCATAGTTCTCAAAAATCAACTGATATATTAATCAATTCCAAAAGAAGCTGTTCAAATGGAGACAGTATCATGAAACATCAGTAGGAATCACACAAAGTAGTCAAGCATAATTAGCATAAAATAATGATGCTGGTCACAAACCTGGGCCTAGTGAGGGACAGACACCCTCCCCTGATGGTCCCTCCCTTCCAACACCTACTATACACACATAGAAAACCCATTATTACAGAAGAAAATGCAGTTAATCAGACTTAGAACTAAAACCCAATTCTAATTTAATACTGATCAAGTTTCCTAGTCACTTTATAATAGATGAAGCAGTAGGTAATTTATAATCAGAACTTAAAAGTAAATGAAGGTTCCTAAGAGAACACTGCTCCTAATTAATAAAAGTCCCTTTGAAGCTCCTATACGCCATCTAAGGCTTTTATCAGTCTCTGTTTCTCTTCTAACTACTCTGTTTTCATGTCTGCTGCTATCTTTATTATGCTACAACACCTGCTTTTATTTTTTCACATTATTATCTAATTTTTACCCATGTTCAAACTCAGTTTGCAGCTATAATCACAGAGAGATCAATATTTTGTAAATCTTTTTTGCTTCATAGTATCTGTTTACCATTTTCTTATAATGCAATCTTCAATACCTATTTCATAGTTGTCCAGTGCCTCCAAATTCGTTTAGCATAGCTCTGCTATTGAATGTTGAGGCAAGGTCAATTTATTTCTACTATCAAACACAGCTTTATAAACACTGTGCTTTCAGCAGGTATTTTCACCTTGTATAGAGGAGACAAAAATGAAAGCATGTGAGCTCTTATGATCCTTTCTCTGTTTAAATTATTTGATAATAAGACAGTCAAATACATTGTTCTAACAGATTGTGAAAGTGTCAGTCTCACACTGTACTGTGATAGATTATCTTTATTAGACAGTGGTCAGTATCCTGTCACTAATTACGAGTGGTGTTGAACATTAATCTATATGTTTATTCTTAGGTTACTGAGTTGTCCATTTGCAATCTTAATCCAGCTTCTATTTCTGTTCATTTTTTAAAAATATCTCTATTAAGCTGCCTGGAGCTTTGAAACTTAGTTTCTTGAGATGACCTAAATGCAAAAGGCATTCTCTAATGCAAGATAGGCACAAGTGTCATTCATTACCTTAGAGAGTCTGTCTGTTACCAAATAGGAAAGTGACTCCTTCAAGAAAATACCATTGTTTTAGTCTTCAGAGTGAAATAAGAACATATACTATCTTTAGAGATTTGAAGGCACAATTCGTTAGGAAGTTGTTAATTACTCTTTTGAGTCGTTAACTAGTTTTTCTAGCAAATGCAGAGTCGATCACTAATGATGCAGCAGGTTAAATGTATCCAAACACCCAAGGAATGTTCCCACAATCAGATTTATGCATGTCCACTCACAAAGAAACAAAGGTTAAAACATTGTTCATTACTTGACATCACAGAGAAGGGCAACCCCACGGAGCACCCAGTGTTCAGGGGCCTGCACTGTCCTGAGGTCCACAGCAGCAATGTAGTTCAAGTCTGTTCGAACTGGCTTCTTGTAGATGGGGCAGCAGTAAAACCGAGGATCTCTGACAGCTACAAAAATAAAATAAAATAAATAAAGATCACAAGAGAAAGGAACTTGATGAATTTCTAGTTGAAGCAGCTCAGGGCCAAAAGAGCCAAGCTTGTGCATTCCCAAGACAGGTGGGGCTGTTGAATGAGGAAGTTCCTGCTGAGCTCATAGGGTCACTGCATGTGGCACAGACATCATCCCACCAGCTATGACAAGACACCTAGGCAGCCTGAGGCTGGCCTTGTTGACCCCTTGCCCCATGACCTTGAAAGTAACTTCTGTTCACATACTTCCTGTTCACCTCAATATATGAGTTCAACATTCCTCTCCACTCATTCCCCTTGACCTCTCTGAAAATCTGGTGAATGCACTTCCTTTTCCTTTACTCCCTTGCCTTTAGCACAAGGACCTACTACATTTATTCAGATTGTGTGATATTTTTTCATCATCATCATCAATCATCATCAATTATTATAAATATCAGTTTCAACCCTCTGTGCCATAGTCTGCATCACATTTTTAATCATAGGATATAGAGTACCCCCAGCCAAACCAGGTGCTGTGAATTTGCTTTGTGAGGAGAGACTAAAAATGGCTGGAAACTAGAGAAATGGCAGTTAGCTCCCTGAGATTCAATTCTCCCTTTTCAGAGTTCAGGACTAGATATAATTTCCAAAACCACATACGCAGTCAAAGGCTATATATTCATCCTTCAAAAATCCTCCCTAATTCATCCATGCCAAACCACAGACTCTCTTTCTCTCTAGCCTTGGAAACCCATGCTAAGAGAGCCAGGTCTGTGGAACACTGAACTTATACAATTTATGCAGGCCCTCTTTAAGAAAAAGAGTGAAAATTTACAGACATTAATTAGGCCTCTTGAGTTCAAGCTCCATTAGCTTCTCTTGGAAGTCACACTGCCTATAGCAGTCAACCTGCACACCTAACTTCCATCTCTGGAAGTAGTATTTTCTTCTAGATTCTCTGAGATTGTAAAAATCTTTGAGGACAAAAGTTTTACCTGCACGTCCTTGCACTACTCTGGAACACCAATGGAATACTGTATAACATTCTCATGTAACTAATGAATGACATGAAATCACATTTCACTAAAAGGGCAACTTCAGTGAATCAGTGTAATGAAGCTGGGCACTGAGGTTCAATAATTTAATCTTTTTTCTAACACTTTACAAAATCAGGGCACTAACAAAAGTTAAAGTCTCCTAGAGAAAAGCATACTTTTGCCACATCCCTAGAGAAAACATAATTTCTTACTTTGTTATAAATATGTATCCTCATATTTATAGACAAGTGTACCTTTTACCCTTCATCAAAGGAGCCTCTTTTTGCAACAGATGGAATATATATAATCAGAATTCCAGAACTGGTCAAATACAGATAATGAGTGTCTGTGAGACACTTAACCCTAAGTGACACATCTTCAATGTAACCTCTACACTTAGGATGAGTGTATTCTCTTAACTCTCACCAGAGAAGTTTCCTCATGTAGCAGACGGTGATTAACACCGAGATTCACAATTAGCCAATGTGCAGGGAACAAGAGTCTGCAAAGTACTTAGCCCTGAATAAGGCAGTTATTTCAAACCTCTGCCTCCCAAGGCTCAGGGATCATTGCATAAGTGGAGGCAGAAAGACTGTAAGAGCCAGAACGGGTGGATGACCACAAGGAATCAGTCTTCCAGACAGCTGGTCAGTTTCATATGAACTCACAGCAATGGTGACAGCATGCACAAGTACTATGCAAGCTCAAAACAGACAAAATCCCAGGATAGACACAGGGAAATGGATAAGAAATTCCAACCCAGCCTAAGGAACTTTTGGCAATTGATGGCTGCTGGGAGGGGAAAGACAGTGTCTTACAGAGCTGGGATTCTTGGTGGGCCTAGTGAATGGATACACACTGAAGGACATTGGGAACACAAATCATACTCTATAGACCATATTATATATGTATAAGAGGGTCCATTAAATTGGGTGGGGGAACAGTGTGCTGGGGGTGGGGAAGAGGAGCAGATCTAAATGCCATCAAACTATATTGTATGAACAAAATCACAAAAATTCAATTAAAAAATATATATGTCAGCTATTGTTAAAATATTTTAAACATGCATATGTGGGCTAAAGTAATTCTGTTGTATTACATGAAAACTATTGTCCCCAAAAATGTTATACAAAAAAAAAATTAAGAGTCCGTATTTAACTCAATAGAAACTTCAACCTATTATCTATATGTTTTTATTTTTTAGATTTGTTTGCTTGGTTGATTGAGGGTGTTAGGTTTTTTTGTTTTTGTTTTTGTTTTTTTGAGATAGGGTCTCCCTATAGCCACAGCTGGCCTGGAATTCACTTTAGACCAGGCTGGCTTCAATCTCATACAGATCTACCTGCCTTTCAAAGAAATTTTAATATATTATTTTTATTATATCATAAAGAAGTCTCAATACAAAATAAATATTCTAAAGTAGTAACACATAACCAGAGATGATTCTATGATTGCTAATATCTTCAGACAAATTTTGTTATCACAACTGCCAAGCATCTAGAGGGTTAAAGTTAGGGATGTTACAAACATCCTATAATACTTAAAATAATACCCTATAACAGAAAGTTATTCAGACCAAAAATATCAATAATTTAAGGCTAAGAGATCTTGTGCTAGAACAACAAAGTCACAGGTATCTTATAGTATTTAAAAGCTCTATGTTAACTTAGTCTCAAGAAAGTAGTAATTACAAATAGTCAAAAACAGTAAAACACCCAATTCTTAAGTTTAGGTGTTATTTCTTCAGTTACTATAAGGATATTAATAACAGCACTAATTAGGTATACCTGTATATGCAGCTAAAACTCTCTCTCTCTCTCTCTCTCTCTCTCTCTCTCTCGTGTGTGTGTGTGTGTGTGTGTGTGTGTGTGTGTGTGTGTGTAAGAAAAGTTCTGATCAAGTAAATGATGATGGATTATGGAATGATAACTACATTAACTTGTATATTTAAATTTCTTTAATTCTAGTATCTGTAAATATGTAAGAAAGAGACAAATAATTGTTCTCACTGCAAATTTGATTAACAACAATGTTATATACCTCGAAGTAAGCCACTGGCATCTTACCTCTGAGCCTAACGATAATTATAAATAATTATACCTTGTAAGGTATTTTTCTACTTGGATTTTAATTCCTAAACAGTCCATACTTATAAAATACTAGCATTCTTTTTAATAATCAGATAAAAACAATTCTCTGAAATGTTTATCCAATTTTATTTATTTTTAGTAGCTTCTGAACTGAAGGCTCTCATGCCAAGTCACAGCATGCAGCAAACTTCTGCAACAAGATTAGATGCCACCAAAAATATAATTTCATGGTGAAAATGCTGACAGATGCTAAACAACCACACAAACAGATGATATGCAACCAATCTCCTGCTTAGCAAGTAACTTCTAAGACAAAAATAAGTATGCAGGGTAGGGAGAACAAATTAGCTACATATGTTTAAAGCCTCAGGGTTCCAGCAAAGTGGGGCGGGGGTGGGGGGAATGATAAGCTCTACACTTCAGGATCCTAAAGGTTTAATAAAGCAACTTGGAGGAATTCTTTCTAGCCACCTAGCTTCCCTGTCTGTCCCATGCATCCATACACAGTGCATATGTTCCTTCCAATATCCACAGTAGCCAAGTCCATAGAGTCTCTGGACCGTCTTCCTGATGCTTATAACATTTAAGTTACTAGGCATTTCGGTCTATCAGTGTCATTTCTTTTCTTCTTAAAATCAGGTGTTTTTAAATGGCAATACAAATATTAATAAAATTAGTTTACTATGTGCCTTCTGTGTGCTAACATTGTCAGTATGTCTCTCTCAACAACACTGCAATGGGAACTGTTATTTGTAGGAATGACTTTTGCAAATTGGACAGAAGCTGAACTAATGACGTTGTTGTTGTTGTTTTTACTAGAAACATTGCTGGGTTTTTTGGGGTTGTTTGTTTGTTTGTTTGTTTGTTTTTAATTAACCTTGCAACCCAAAGCTACTGCAAACAAGTTCATTGAGGCATGTGTTCTTGTGACTTGGTGTTACACAGGACTATTTCCCGACAGACAGACCACAGACAGATGCCATCTTCCCATGCTTGGCTGCACCCATTTGCCTAGGATCATCACAGCTAAGATCCAGGGCTGTTATGCTCCACAAGCTAGGAGAGGGGAGGGGCCAAGGGCAGAAGTAGAGGAAGCCATGGGAAAGAGCTCTCGACATTTTGTGCGGCTGCCAGGAAGTTGCTATCCATGCTTGGATGAAGACTCTCCAATGCAGCTTTAGGAGGGGACACCCACATTCCTGTAAGTAAACCCTCACTCAATGCTCTGTAAGTAATCCTGATAACTTCACTGGTTTCCCAGACTGCAGTTTGGCGAACTCAAGTTACCATCTGTTGTAGGGACCAAGGGAGGAGAAGACCAGACGTTGTTTGCACCTCCCAGAAGGAATTTGAGCTACACCTGGCTACCTAACCTTGATCCTTCAGAACCTAAATTTGCTGTCCACCCGAGATAATGAATGAATGTGGGAGTGCATCAGTATTAGCAAACCATAAGTCTGAAAGGCAGTGAATTCATATCAATAGTTCATTAAAAACAATGTTGAGAAGAACACTTGATATTGTGAGTATGAGATGTTTTAGTCCTAGGGATGAAAGGGCCAAATTGTCTGATAAGGGTGAATTCAAGCTTATAGTTCCCCAAACCCATGCCAGAGAAATGATTTTGAATAAAATTATGGGTGAGGCCTGGCTCAGCAGCACACTTTCAGGAGACGTCCGGAGGAGTGGGCACCCTCTAAGGACCAGACCTAATAACTAAAGTTAAGAGTCAGGCTGTTTATTCAGGTATAACCGTAATGTTGGTGTGGTAATGCCTCAATTATTAAGTCAAATCCTTCTGTCACTTTAAAAATTAGAAGACTGAAAAATAAGGTGGTGAATTACTTGCACAAGACTGCAAAGTGTT